GAAGCACACTTATATCCTAGGCGACATATTATGGACTTATGGATAAGTACAAAATATATAGGATAAAGATTAGAATAAATGACTTGGTGAATACAGAGACAGAAAATGATTTCAAATATTTTTCCCACCCTGGAAACCACGAGTATTCGGTGGATGGTTCTTCATTGAGACACTGAAGTCCTTGTGCCTTGTGAAGTGTTAAAGTCTCATGTACAAATCCTCCAGGGTTCACATATGTACCCTGAGGACCTTCAACTGACATCGAGAATGCCTCTCGAGCATCTGCCACTTGAGTATCACAATCACCGCAACACAGCATCTGACACTACCAAATAAACGGAACAAAATATTAGTAAACAAATACACGTCGATGAATCCAACAAGTAATTACGTATGAGGATCTTTCGTTTATTTAACAACGCTCTCAACTTCTCAGATTACGTAGGATCAAATGATAGGCTATATCATAACTGACTGCTCTCACACCTTCTCCAAAACGCAGAGTTCCCAGCGGAGTCGTTGAATTGGGGAGTTTATCTGAAGCAAGGACAGCCTTTGTTCGTCAAGCAAGGGCATTGCCTGTGCTACCCAGTAAGATAATTCAACAGGGTCCTTTGGCAACTTAAGGCCTGTCGGAGTGCTGCCTGAAATCGTACAAAAACAACATACAATATGCAGTACGGATACACATATCTTTATACAATAATTTATTTACCGTCTTTACACAAACTTAAAAATGCTAGTATCTAATGAAAAAATGTTATAATTTTAAGTAATTTTAACAACATTTTTAAGTTTGTGTAAAGACGGTAAATAAATTATTGTATTAATAAACACAAACATGACGCAATTAAGATATAAAAAAAAACATATCTTTATATATAAAGATATGTGTGATATTTGTAGCGTGTATGCTATGCGTCAGCCAACTTAGAGCCAGCTGTTACCTTTGTAAAAACAATGTAATTAAGTAGTCATTTGATGGCACGTGCAACCCAGTAAGGTCACTAGTTGAAACATCTGATATATTACAAAATAAAGACTGCCATTTTGAAGAGTGTACAACATACACAAGCAAATCCTAATTTTTTTTTTGACTGGTATGTAACTTTTTGTCATATAACATCCTTCTAGGGTAAGCAAAAGTTCCTTCACAGAAAGCAGAAGCATGCAAGGAGCAGATATTTTTGGAGATCAGTGCGACTTCCTTGTCTTTTCTATGGGTTTAGAAAGGGGTGACTAGAATGAAACTTTACACAGTAAGACAATATACCAGGAGAAGAGGGGATATTACATAAGTATACAGGATAGCCACTGCACAGTCAAAAAATCTCCACCTTTCACAGAATCTGAAAGTTCACCAGTGCCTACCAGTGGACCCCATCCTGTGCCAGATAAATCAATAAAAATCCTTGTATCCTACTAAACATTATCCTACCTGTGACCAGGTTTTTACAAGATGTCTTCTTTTCAGGTTTTCCATCCAAAATTCGCCATTTTGACAACAAAAGATCAATAAAAAACTGGTTTCTCTCAGAAGGTTTTTTCCCCCCTTAGAAAGTGGACAATGAGACTGAAAGATTTGAAACAAAGCCTCACAAATATTTTAAATACAAACAAAAATAATAATGCAAGAGTTGAGAATAAAGTAAATCCCTCAGCTGAAAAACAATTGTTGTTATGCTTAATATGGAGGGGGAGACAATCACATACCAAGCTTCAGATACGAAAGCTGTAATTTAACGCGGCTGGAAAGGCTTTTCGCATTATACTGGTTGTGCACCCAGTGAGGCCACACAGTCATCATCGCGTCTCTTCGTAAAATGGCCTGCCGTCTTTGCAGATGGATTCTACTGGCGTTCGAGACCGGTCTTGACGAGTCAACTAGTTCGCTCCTGTAACGATCCAAAGACCTGTTCCGAACTTCATGCAGCGAATCGGGAAGGACGACTTCTGGTAATATCTTCACTGTAGCATTTATATTTCTGTAACAGATACATGCGATGATGAGCGGCTATGGGAATAAAAAAACAGGTAGAGTGAAGCAAATTAATTTAATTCCACGATCACATTTACAATTTATTCATCAATTTATTCAGAAGGGTCTGGAGAGGAGAGTGAGGTCATTAAGCGACAGCAGTACTATTCTTTGCCAGATGCTCGTGCACCAAAAGAGACCGATGCGTTGGTACGTAGCAATGGCGCAGCAGACAGTTTCCAGACACGCAAAGAGAACGGCATATATGTCAGGTAGCTTCTGACAGATGGTGAAGAATCTCTCTGTACATGGTCTTCTTGATGGTATGCCATTCCAGTACAGATTCAAATAAGGGGATCATTCTGAGGGAAAAGTTCATGAATTTCTTGGGCACTTACAATAGTGGCTTTGCACACTAATAAAACTGCTCTGTACATAAATTTCTTGTGATTTTATCTTTACCATAACAGAATAAAGGATGCCAGATAGATTTCAATTCCAAAGGTAACATTTTAGTGGCAAGGTGATACCCAGTTGGTCTGCTCATAAGCTGAAAAGTACGATTGATAAAGGTTAATAATTCACTGTGGTGAGCGTTAATACGGACAACTTACCCATCAACTTGACGTTGTGACTCCACGACACGAAACCTCTGGCGTCCTTTAGCTTTGATACAAAAACCAGTCAGTTCTTCCTCATCTCGATATTCATAAATTTCTGCCGTCGTACCAATGTCAGCCAATCTAGGGTTAGACTCGTCAGAGTACCTCGAATAAATAAGAAATCAAAACATTGCTGGAGCAAAGCTGATGTCATGCACTTGTACGTCTAAAATTTCTGGATAAGCAATCATTTCACTTCTTTGACCAAGATGTTTTAATGAGTGGCAAAGAGGGAAGAAGACCTGTAAAAGTGTTATTTTGGATTTGTCCGTTGTATAGATATCGACTGTTGCTTGCTTACAGATCAACATTCACTATCACATAAAAATGACACAGTTATTAACAAAATTAATACAAATACACAAATAACTGTAAGGAACCATGGAAAATATATCATTATTCCTTCCCACAACAAAAATATCTTTAACAACCTGTCACGAGCTTCATAGACATCTTCCGCCAGCATAACACAGAATAATTCTTATCATTCTAAAACATAATTCAGGAAAACAAGGGACATGGTTAATGGCACTCCGAGTAAAGAACTCCGAATAACCAATCACAGTTTTACTCACAACACACAACATTAACTAGTGTTAAGATATGAACTTGTGGTCAAGCCACTGAATCAAGGAAAACAATATTAAAACATGATTTGCAGTCTTCTGTGTGACGACACGTCGTACTCTTATACGCGGTTACCAATGCTAAAGGGGAACTAATTATGTGATGGTCCTAAGTTCCTCCAAACATTGTTGACCACCTAAAATGCTACAAGGTGTCATAATTCAAAAGACTACCTCCAAACATTGTTGACCACCTAAAATTCTACAATGTGTCATAATTCAAAAGACTAAAATCCAAATTTTCTTCAATTTCAAGGCAAACTCCTACCTCAAATAAATTGCTCCAAATGTTCCATTTTTTGTTATGATCTTGCGTAGCATACTGACTGTTGGAGGATAAAACACCATAAGTGGAAGGGTCTGACCAGGCACTAAAACAACTCCAGGCTGAGGCAGCAAAGGGAGAAGTTGGAACGAACCATCATCGAGAACTGTTCGTCCTCTCAGCTCTTCCAGGTTGTTGCCCAAATACTAAATGAAACAATTTTAATTTTTAGTCACTTCTGAGCTTACGAATTTTTCATATTCTTAGCTAAAATCAAAAAAAGAAATACTATAAATATGGCTGTCTTCTGGGCTGCAGTGCCATGTAGTCTGGTAGAAGTACATCAACGTTTCAGAGACACTTGCTGTCTCCATTATCGCGGCGATTCACCTTGTTCTAATGAGCCACATATACTTACATTATGCTTGACCGGTAAAGCTGTGTCAAATTCTATTGGAGGAACCTCTCCTTCCAGATTTGCACTTTCAACACTACTGCTTGGTGAGGTAGTAGGGGGTCCATCTCCAAAATCTATCCACAAAAAGTTTCTATTATTCTAACTACAAGTAAAAACTAATGTCATCTTATAATTTCTATCTCATAATATAAGCCAGAAAAAAAAGGATCAAAAACATTTACTAAACATTTTGGAATAAACATACTTAACAAATGTGTCAGGTGTAATATCAGTAAGTAAAACCTAACTGCAGTGACAGGTTAGGAGAGTTATACTGGTTATGCATAATAAACCATAAATAAAATCAAAATGAAACTGCAGGTACACCATTCTCTGATGTTATTCAGGCATTCTTTTCACAGCCAAAGCAACCTTACAGTTCTACCTTAATGAAAATCCTCCATAAATTTACCCAGGTAATACAAAGAATTCTACACATAAATCACGTGTATATTAACTTAGTCATTCATAGGCTATATTCTTTCATTTGAAATAGTTATTGAGCCATAAAATCAAAAACAACAATGAGATCCAAATCGCCAACGTGATTCGTACTTTGATTTCCACGTAATAATCTGGCCATTTGTCCTTTGACGTTACTCCAGAACGATCCCATCTTCGACTGCAGAGTTATTATTTAATAAGACTACAAGACAAACCAAAATAGATAAAAAGATAGACAGTTAAAACGTTCAAACCAATCTAATACCTGAAGCTGAACTACTATCAACATATTCATCACCCTCCATAGTCTTTTCAACAATTCCCAACTACAACGACATTCACATATATTCCCGAATAGATGTTCGATAATTAACACTTTTACTTATTCCAAGTATAAGTACTGACAACCAGTTACTACTCAGCCAATTATACGACCCAGTAATTGTACCGACAATACGCAAGCCGAAACCAACACCATAACCTAAACAGTTGTCACTATATTTTTTCAACAAACGTCGTATAGATAATCCACCCAAATAAAAAAGTTATCTACCAAAGATAATACAAACAACCAGCCGATTACAAACAACCGATAAAGGAACTCAACAACTCGGCTTTCCTCTGAATATTGACGGAAATTTAATTCAATGGTATTATAACAACCAACATTGGCGCTAGTGTATAATCATAAAATGTAGGTGGTATAGGATGCAATATCTGCCGATATAAATCAACTTCCATTATTAGGCAAGCAATGACAATATGGAAGGGAGAGAATGAGGCTAAAAGCTAAGACATGTAATGACGCGAATAAGTGTATATGGCTTTCGCCATAAAGTGTGCTAAAGACGAAACTTTCTACGCAATTCTTCCTGCGCACATTTTGTACGCATTGATTTGAACTACGGTACGTTGCGATCTGCAGTACACTATAAATTTGGTACTCCCTTTGTGTAAAGATAAGTCATTCTATCACATATGACCAAATGTTCAGAGAAGCATGGGTTCCGAGGGCCATTACGTAAAATTAAGACACGAACATTTAAAGTGATTTAATTTTGTAGGATTTTGACAATTTAAAATGGCATGGCACAATCACAGAATCACATCTGCTATGCATCCAGGGGTGAATTCATAGGCCGTCAGGTTTCATGGAAGTGAGCCTGAAGATGGCTTTCTTGTAAGTTGTGCCATGTAGTCTAGTCGTTTACTTACATTTCAGAGATCCTTGCTGCCTTCATCTTGAGGGCGATCACCATCTTCAGGGGTGAATTGACCTGCAAGGGACTCTTGAAATAAGCACTAAGTCAGAAAGTTCAAGAGCCAGTGGGTCACAGGTGGCCTGACACTTTGTATATTGCAAATACCTGCCAAAGAAATTGTAAATTTGTGTTGTGGTTTATATAAACAGAGGGCAGTTACAGATAAAGATGACTACCTAAGGCACACAGATTAATGAAGTTAAATAGGCCTTATGAATACATGTGAAGAAATCCATAAAAGTGAAACATAACGCAGATATAATTTATCACAATAAATTACTCTGATGTATAACAAATGTGTGCCTGTAGCCTTCATACAATAATGTATAATATAACAAAACTTTTATAATATGTACTACAGACATTATGAAGAAAACCTCTGCCAGCATAAACACAAAATTATGTAACCAATTCCAAATTGGTGATTAGGACATGATAACTTCATATTTATTATCCAAGGAGGACCAGAAGAGCAGGATTTGCAGTATGCATGGTATACTTGCCATACCAGCAGAAGCATCAGTTCCCAATTCCATTGTAATCAACTGCACATTACGGAATCCTCTTCTTCGGCGCCGGCCAGGTTCTCCTTCCAAGTTTTATTCTGCCTGGCCAACATGATGGATGAGGTGTTCTTCAGGGGCTATGTAATGGGTGAGATCATAATGAAGGCAGAAAGATCAGGTCTGTAATTCCTTGGTTACACAACACAACTTATTTGTGTCAACAATTTACTTAGTAAATGAATGGTATTTATTAAACATTCCAATTCAGGGATAGGGAAAGGTAAATACTAAATGTATGATTCCTATATTACCTGTCATTTAAATATTTATCATTTCCAAAAAATAGAAAATTCCAAGTATGCTGTCATTTAAATATTTATCATTTCCAAAGAATAGAAAATTCCAAGTAAGGAGTTCCACTGCCATCTTTTAAGATTATTCTGTGTAATGAATTTTTTATTCCACACAACATTACTCATACTCTGATTATTTAACATCGCTGGAATGTGGACACACACTGCACTATGCATGAGATGAAGAATGTTATGTTCAGATTACTCTGTCCACACATATCACAGCAGCACGGACACCCCAGTATGTGTGCGCTTATGTATCTTCAGAATACTTGTACGACTGAATGATTTATTACACACTTCACAAGAATATGGCCTCTCTCCACTGTGTGTCCGCTGGTGTATCTTGAGACTGCTCCTTCGAGTGAATGATTTATTACATAAATTACAGGAATATGGCTGCTCCCCACTATGTACATGTTGATGTGTCTTCAAACTACTCTGACTACTGAACGATTTACTGCATACATCGCAGGAATACGGCCGCTCCCCAGTATGTATGCGCTGATGTATCTTTAAATCACTCTGACTACTAAAAGATTTATTACACACGTCGCAAGAATATGGCCTCTCCCCACTATGTATGCGTTGATGTATCTTCAGATGGCTAATCCAACTGAATGACTTATTACATACATCACAGGTATGTGGGTGATCCCCACTATGTATACGCTGATGGATCTTCAGTATACTCTTTCTATTGAATGATTTATTACACAAGTCACAAGAATATGGCCGCTCACCACTATGTATACGTTGGTGCGTCTTTAGATTACTCTTTTTATTGAATGATTTATTACACATGTCACAGGAGAATGGTTGCTCTCCACTATGTATACGTTGGTGTATCTTCAGATCACTTTGACTACTGAACGATTTATTACACGCGTCACACGAATATGGCCGCTCGTCACTGTGTATGTGTTGATGCGTCCTCAGGTAACTCTGAGTACTGAACGATTTACTGCACACACTGCAGAAATTTGGTCTTTCCTCGTTGTGCATGCGTTGATGTATTTTCAGGTAACTCTGTCTACTGAATGATTTATTGCACACATCACATGAATTTCGCTGCTCCCCACTATGTATGAGTTGATGTATTTTCAGATTACTCTGACTACTGAATGATTTATTACAGACATCACAGAAATTTGGTCGCTTCACACTACCCCTGCACCGATGTCTTTTCAGATCACTCCGACCACCGAACGACTTATTACATATGCCACAGGAATACGAATCCTCCCTATTATGCAAGCATTCATGACTCATTAGGGTAGATCGCAGAAGAAATGATTTATGACACACGCCACAGGGAAATGGATGCTCCTCACCATTTATGAGCTGATGTTCACTCGCAGGACTCTGAAAAAAATAAATATTATAATATATCTTCATGGGAAAAGTAATGGTACAGGTCAACAATACATTAAAAAAAATTGTTCCATACCAAATCCTGTTAGACAACAATTATTTAGTGCAAGACATGCTGAAAACATCACAAAAATCATTGACCAAATATTATTTAAACATTTTAATTCAGATTGGAATATAAAAGATACTTCAGGCAAATTTGAGAGTGGTTCCTTCCCAACTAAGAAATATATTTCAACATTCAATCAGTTTGTGGTGTTCTCAAATGTAAGCAGCAGCAACCATATGAATATATCCTGTTCATATAAACAAAACAATTGTCCGCAAGGCAGAGAGTAGACCTGACATCTTTGAGGGAGGTGGGGTAGAATTCTGTGCTACTAGCGGACCGAAAAGCACCCGCAGCTTAAACAGGCCGTACGTCGTGAGCTAATGTACTGACTGATAGCGCAATCTTCTTAGGTAAGGAATAATCACCGGCGCATGCGCAGAACCCACTTTTCCCCTGCCACACAAGCATCGGCTGACAAGGCCACGTCTACTCTCGTGCCTAGCAGACAATACTGTCGGAATTCTCTGAATGGGATGTCATATTTATAACATGCATTTTAAAAACAAACAGACATGTTCCCACTCACACACACAAACAACAATGGAAATAAACTTACAAGACTCACCTCAGGTTCAGACTTTATATAAACATCATGAGTTTTCATGTCAATGCAATCGTCTGTGCTCAAAACATCCACATTGCTTTCTATTTTGATTATATCACTGTTCTGCTGCAAAATTACAAACACTTCAAATAAGACACTAATTCACGACACAAAAGATATGTTTCTCGAAAACACCGGCATCTACTGAAGTCTACACAGTGCCAAAACCCAGATCAATACCAAGAAAATGTCAAATTTGTTAAGTTGAACCTTCTATAATGGAAGAAATGTATTAAAATCGTGAATGTCAATGTGAAAAGTGTGTGGGGCATAGCAAGATTTTGTACTCAGTACCAAGACGAAAACACACCAATATGATTCCACAGTGAAAATGGGGATGTGTGCACTGAGATTATTCTGGAATAAGGAAAATGAGGTGCTTGAATTCACCACTGAACTAGAATTTAGCTAGTACACAAAAAATACAAGAAACCATGTTCCAAAAACCACTATACATCCATGTCTGTAAACTACACAGAGTGGTATGGCAGACTGACATATTCTGAAACATGACAGCGATACTTGAGGTCATATAATTAATAGTAGAGCTAAATTATGAGATGAAGAAGTGTTATTTCTTAATGATTCTTTCACACATGAAAATATCCTGTTCATACAAATCAAGTACTTTAAAAATAAAGACATGTTCCTACTTTCATACATAACCACAAAAATAGTCTGAAAAGACTTACCTCAGGTTCAGACTTTATATAAACCTCATGAGTTTTCATGCCAATGGAATTTTCTACACTCAAAATATCATCTTTTTCTTCTTTGATTATATCAATGTTCTGCTGAAAAATTATAAATGAAAGATAAATGTTAGATATATAATTCTTATAGGTCAAATGCAAATAAAAAATATTTCTTATTCTTTTATGTTAGTTATGTTCAACTTACTATAATGGTAGAACTGTATTCAATCCATGAATATATGGACAATGTCAATGTGAGAAGTGTATGGCATACCGAGGCTTTGTAGTCAACACTTTTCAAATGTTGGAACCAAGATGAAAACACACCAATATGAATCCACACAGTGAAAATGGAAATGTGCACTAAGATTATTCTGGCATGAGGAAAATCAGGTACTTCATTTTACCACTGAACCAGGATTTAACTAGTACACAAATAACACAAGAAACCATGTTCTGCTGAGTCTGATAACTTCACTTTAACTATCTGTAATTCCACAAACTCTCAGCAAAAAGCCCCATGTAAAATGATCACAACAATATAAAGAGAAATCAACATAAAAATATTGCCATTCAGAAATGGTGGTAAATCTGAAAAGAAATGTTATTTACATTTTTTGCTCCAAATGTCATCAACAACCTCGTTGAGAACTGTCCTAGAGCTGTAAAAACAGCCTATATATGGCATCACCTAGGAAATTATTATAATGAATAATGTATCTGTTCTAATATTATTGGACCAATACAGCACAGTGAAGCTAAACTACAAAGACAAAAAGTTACTTATAAAAATATTCTGTTCATACAAATAAAAATACTATGTGCATTTTCTGACTCAGACAGCATATTAATAATGATGTTTACTGCAACAACAAATATATTTTTGCATTAGCATACATCCTAATAATTATAAAAATTATCTTAAAAACTTACCTCAGGTTCAGACTTTATGTACACCTCATGAGTTTTCATGTCGATTGAATCTTCTGCACTCAAAACCAGATTACTTTCTACTTTGATCATATCAATGTTCTGCTATAAAATTATAAATGAAAGATAATTGTTATATATATATTTATGATTGTTATAAATTCAGGGCTTCAGAAATAGAACAGACTGAGATCCCCAGAAACTAACACCAAATAGGGGCAAAGCAGTATCTGACAATTCCTTTTCACATAAAAAGTTCTGAGAGATGAGAAATGTAGCACTGTCATATGTTTAAAGAGAACTCACGAACCTTACATTACAGAAGCAAAAATAATTTTTAATGCGAATAACTATTCTTCATCATATAAATCCAGTGAACAAGTTTATACTCACACAAATAAATAATACTCACCAAACCGTCCTTCAGAGAAGGAAATATTTCTTCACATCTCTGCATTATAACTTCTGGCACTTTTGTTACTGCAGGCTGCACAATTTCTGTAAATTTAGGACTTGTTCATCACATGATGAAGATTTTTGGGTTGTGTAAAAAACTGTCTTACAAAAAAGCTTGAAATAATTGTATCCAATTTGGAATATACAAGGTCCTGCAAAAAAACATACTGATTATAAGTAGCGTTTAAACATATATTTTATGGAAAATGTATTTATATGTCTAACAGACCATCAGCCGATCAAGAACGAAAACAACTGAGCCTATAGCATTTCATTAATGGATCGATATGCACCACTTTCTTTCAATCTATTATTGATAAAATCATTCGTAAACGTACAAGCAATAATAACCTATGCAATTTCCACAGAATCTGCCAATGCTGCGATATGTAACCTATCAATGCCAATTACATGTGAGTCACGGTAACGACCTGATATGTTGGAATTAACTCTGACAACCAAGATTTAGAAATGGATCTACAAGTTCACTGATGGCCAAGGTTGTTCTGCCACCTATTACCATTAGCATGGCGACGTGACTTGTGCAAGCAGTAGCCTAGTCGGTAAGAAGGACTACTACTCTTCAACCTTCAAAATTCGTCCCACCACTAACCCATTATCATTGGTTATGGAATAGAAACTTCTCCGTCTTTGGAGTTAAACGAGTATATGATCGGGGTACCTCAGTCAGTATAGTGAGTGGCTACGGACTGGGCCACTGGGGCTCGGTCCCTGATGAAGGCAGAAGATATTTCCTCAAGCCTATACATTCAAACCAGCTCTGCGGCCCACCCAGCCTCCTTCCCAATAGGTATCTTGATTCCTCCACAGCGATAAAGCGCGGCCGGAGCGTGATGCTGACCACTAACCTCCATTTAGTGCTGAAGTTAGGAAGGAGTAGGTGATATAACTTTTCTCCCCCCTCCCCCAAGTGTTCTTCTATAATAAAAATTTCATTCATGTGTCAATGAGTAAGAACTATTCAAGCAGATCCTTGAAAAAGCAACTGACCTAATAGACCGTCCTGTAATGAAAGATTTCTGCACATTTTGTCCGAGTAACATACAGTATACAAACAGGCTTCAGTTTGAACACAATCGCTAGACTTGTCACACAGTAAGGAATTATGGACACACTGGTACACGTGCATATGATTAATATTTGTTGCATTTATGTGACATGTAGAAAAGGTCAGAGTTAAATGTTGGTGGGGAAAAAATGTGTGTGCGTACAGAGAACAATATTCTACTGCAACACAGCAAAATACTGCCAAAAATGCCTCCCTTTTATGGGGTAAACCTATCAGCTGGCACTGTGTCAATAATAAATGGAATTAAATACATGGAAATGTGAAAGGGTTGAAGGGAGTAAAATTTTAAGATATTGAGGATGTGTTAATGGGGCAAGTAATTGTGAAAAAGGGAATGGCAACTGATATAGTTGTTAAGGTAGAAACAGAAGTAATTGGACAGCAGATGAATGTGACAATTTTATATAAATCCTGGTATGTATTTTTCTCCAAAAAAATTATTATACTAACAACGAATTCTACGTAAGATGGCACTGTAATAAGAGTTGTTAAGTATGGATACACACTTCACAATTCTCCTTTCTCTTTTCTCCTAATTAAAGAATTTCTCACACCATGTGGGAATTTAATAAATAAATAAATAAAAATATATCCAAACATAAAAAATTAAATTAACCACCATTCCCACTTTAGTGTCAACATTGGCGACTGACAAAAAATGGCTGCTTTAATATGCTGGACTGTAAAATGAGAGAAATCTAAAAATAAAATTTTGGTTGCTTTTGTAATACATTTCAGAAATATACAAATCTTTGAGGTAAAATTTTTAAAGAATCATGGTGCACATGTTGTTTTTAAATACATTTCTTACATAACATCCAATTACTTTTCTGCAGTATAATTAGGAAAGCAGTAACTTAAAACTGTTTTACACAATACCAATTACATGATTTGCAAGTATGAGAAGAGGTAAATGTAAATATCTTGCTGATATGAAAAATATAACTGAAAAGTTGTAACGTTCTCTTACATGTAGCTGGTTGATCAAAATGTTGCCACACAGCCCAGCATTAAGTGTTTGTGATAAAAGACGCAAAAAATGTCCGTTATAACTCCAAGTACTAAACATCACTGTGTAATTTTACTTTTGCTGTTTTCATATATTTTTACTTCAACATATAACGTACTCTGTCGTAGTTCACGCTTTTCCACACAGTGAGCGTGCTGAAGCCTGAAGGCACACATTCTGTCACCCAACTAATATTTGTCACATAACCTCACTATTAAGAAGTTACAAGTTTGGCCACAGAGAATCACCTGACCCACACAAATAATAAATTGGCTATAAAAAGCTACATTCAAGGAGCATGTACTGAAAACATATATCTGATCCCTTACTGTCAATAACTGGTTTTAAGGCTGGAAATTACATTTCAGCATTATTTTGTCCTGGCTTGCCTTTTTCAGGGAATAACTTCTTACAGTATATTATAGTGTAGTTTTCTTTTCGTGAATTGTAATGCACCATCAGATTGTATAGATGATGGTGAATTTCTTAATTTGCAGAGTGCCAATCAGAGTCTCAAGAAGGACTCTGCATGATAGTTGGTACTTACAACATAACAGATTGTCATCAGTCTGATTTCAGAGCAAATTCACAGAATGAATGGCTAATATCACGCTGTATATATATATTTTCATCTGGAAACTAATTCTGATGATCTCAATGACCGCCACTCAAGCACACCAACAGCCAGTATGATTGTAAAGTTGCAACACACCAACTCTCAATATGATTGTAAAAATACAATAAATATATTTTAATATTTTTCTTTTCCTTATTGTACTAATGCCCTCATCTAGAAAATTTGCCAATTTGTTACTGACCTTTTAATTGTGTTAATTTCAGGGCTGTTTAATATTGTTCAGGATATACATGGTGATTCAAATTCATATGTTCAATTTACAGAGACTGATAGTGAGATAATCTGGAACAGAAAATGTAAATAAATAGTTGCTCTATTCATCACCGTTGTCCAATTATGATATCCTGTCACATTTTTTGAAAATTAACCTTTAAATCATGCAAGACCTACAAAGATCCTCGCATTTTACTTGTATCTCTGATGTGGATGTCGTCTATTGTCCTCTCTGCTATGATAACTCAGCCAAATGTTTACATTTTCTGCTCTAAATTATTCATTTAACAGAATCTTAAAGTCTGGCCATTTGTATTCTGAATCACACTGTAGAAATAATTTCATAAAATCAGTCTAACAGCAAATCAGACATATATAAATATATAAAATATCTGCATATTTTACTCTGCTCCTTTATAATATCAACTATGACTGTTTAACTTATAAGCAATATTTTTGTTATATAAATACATGTCAATAAATATATAATATCTTACAAATAATTATATATGGATCTGCACACACATATACTATTGTCAAGCCACAAGTTTGCGCTCACTCCTGTTCAAGACAAAATTGGAATGTAGCACTGAAGATGACTTACACCCTGTAATGTATGGGGGCCATGAAAGGAGAACCAATAGCACATTCTGTTTCGCACCGTTCTTCCTGCTGTTTGCATGGCGTCCGAGTAGGCGTCTGAACTGGTGTTGGGAAAGTGAAAGCAGTTTCCTTCGTTTCGCTGCAGACTTTGTCAGCAAACTTCTTCTTTGGTGAATGACTTCTGAAATATTTGGACAAAGTTTCAATCTACATTTCAGACAAGAACCCTTTTTAATTTTTTGACTAAGTGAGTCATTGACTGACTGACAAGTAACTGCATGGAGCAGAGTTCATCTTGAGAAGTTGCACGCTTGTAAGAAAGAAAGAAAAAAAACTTTGAAACCCAAAGAATCTTCACTGTTTTCACAACAGCTTGCCACTGGACCCTTTTCTGATCTAGATTAATCATATACACTCTACGCAATGAGGGAGGCAGGTATTTGAAGATGGCTGTTTTCTTATCCTTGGCAACCTAAAAATATATTCACTTTTAAAGGACTCTACTCCACAGACTTAGTTTCCTTAAAACAGTAATTAGCACTGGGGTCGTACTGTGAATGCTTACTTGATGCAGTTTTTGCTTAGATGAAGTCTTCTATCAGGAGAAGGAGAAGCCTCATTTGAGGTTGATGACTCAAGAACACTGACAAGGCGACCTGTAATATTTAATGCCAATTTATTGAAATCATTATAGCCTTCAATTTTTTTTAATATATTTTTAATTGTATGTGGCTAACTACAGCATGCTGACAAACTTTAAAAAAAAATTGATTATTTTAAACAAATGGCTTACTGTGTCGTATGTTGCTCTGTAGATATGCTGATTGAAATCTGACAGATTTGTTGTCCGCACGCCCATCGGAGTCTGAACCTGGAGAGTCGTACTCTTCCGCGTCAGATTGCACTGATGAATGAACACGTGAATATTCATCACCTTCAACCTGTTGGGACATTACTGTTAGTCAAACGTGTTTCAGTTGCCAACATTTTCAGGACAAATCTGAATTACCTCAGAGCTGACATCTGCTTTCAATAAACTGCAATTTAAAATAAATTAATATAGTGAGACCATAATTTTTGAAGCTAGAAACAGGACAGGCCAGATGAATGCTTTCTGGGATGTTACGCTGTGTAGTCTGGTAGATATTGACCAACATTTCAGGGACACTTATTGCATCCATGATCAGGGAGACTCAGCACCCTGATGATGGAGGCAGTAAGCTCCTCTAAAACATTGGTCAATGTCTACCAGACTACATGGACAGACATTACTCCTGCTCAATAGATGCACCCACCGACAAGATTCTGAGATTGCCGATGATGAATCTCATTCTCTACTCACCTCCCCTGGAGCATAACTGTTGACATCAGGTGAATCAGACCCCTGATATACAAAGGTCTGAAAGCCCCTCTGACTTGACACTTGACTGGTAGGTTTCCAAGCTTGAAATGTGGCATACGGATAAATGTCATCATCATATTCTGAAAATAGAATTTTAAGCATTAGTATTTTTGGAATTAAGATTATACATATAAATAATTTAATTTAGTCATAACTAAATCAGTAAAGAATTCCACAGAGCAGAGTCCTTGAGAACCTAACAGTCACAGGAAATCACCACTTTTATGGAACCCAAAGGTTCTATATTACAAGGTATGATAATCAAGTTCCACGAATTCCCCCGTAAAAGTTTTATTTATAACTTACGAGGCGTAACAAGGTATGATAATCAAGTTCCACGAATGCCCCCGTAAAAGTTGTATTTATGACTTACGAGGCGTATCATCAGGTTCAATGACAGTACCACACAAATGAGGTTCCCCATCATGTTTTGGTAACACACTGTAGGACTCTGGTTTGACAGGGGCATTCCCATCCCGTCGAGACAGAGCAACATCACTGCAGCTTGCTGGTTCTACAACACAACATATAGATTGATTTTCCAGTGGATCCAAAGTTGCTCAGTAACAATTAAGGCTAGTAAATTGTGGGAAGAGATGAAGAAATAACAATATGGTGACTGCATACAGGTTGGAAAATCATGTTATAATTTGTAACAGGGACAGGAATGTTTTTCTTGAGCTACCAAAGTCAGGGGCTCTTTCCTGGTTCATATTCATGAAAATAGCGCAAATGGAAATGGTTACACGTATCTGTATGTCGGCTATCACATGCGATGAACAACTTACTTCTCCTGAGACAGATGGCAACAGTGGTCAGGGTTAGCACCAGTGCTAGGAGACTCACGGAGATTGGTAGACTTACACGAAGGTACATATAAAATGGATTATCCACTGGTCCAACCTCCAAGCTCACATCTTCAGAACCAATGCTAACACCTGAAAAACAAGTTAATTTATCTTTAAAGGTCTAAAATAATTTGTCTTCTCTTAATGTTTTAATGACATATTTACAAAAAATCCCATTGTTTTGTCCTTCAGGTACAGCAACACATTACTGCTTATATGTCATAAAATAATTATGGATATAGAACTTTGACATGTAATGTTGGTTCTGCTTTTGTGTCAGTTTTTGAACCTTAATCATTTATTTAATTTATTTTTATTCTATATTTAAAATAATTTCTTACAGTGTTCCATCTTTGGTATTACTAACAGGTCATCATAATACCTTTATAGTAAGAAAGCAATCACTATAAGGTGCCAAAATGTTAAATACTAAAGGAAAAAGCAATATATATTCACGATATTATCATAATACATAAGGAGTTTTGTTATTTCAGTATAATTCATTCTAAATAACATTCAGGCACAGAATGGGCAAACTTTGCTAATTGCTGGAGAGAGGTGTCTAAGTACCCAGAGCCAAAACACCAGAGACTCATCTTGCAAGTCGAGCGGGACTTTTCAACAGCAATAAATGAAGTCAGGTACAAGATTTATATAGAGCTCACTAAGGGGACCATCAAGCTCCTCAGTCACCTTGAAGCACAACCAGTAAGACCTCAGATGGCCTGTCATTTTTGGCCTTGGGGTAAATGAGGGACTGACCCTCACATCAAAAGGATAGGTTAGGTTAGGTAATTCCTCACCTTTAAAGTGTTTAGAACAGCCTGCACTATATCCAGTCCTGAGCTTGATGAATCCAGTCACATACACACCTTTCCCCCTCGTATCACGTAAGGTTTTGTGTGCTTTTAAAGTGCATTCACAACTAAAGGTCACACTATTCATGTCTGCCTAAATGTAATAACAAAAGAACCAGTCAACCTACTTAATTCTTAAACCACTTATATTTTCATAAAATTCTACAAGTTTTACTAAAATTTGTCACAAATTCCAATCGTGGTTAAAATGGGCAGCAATAGTGAGCTCTATTCATGAAAATCTACATGCATTTTGATACAAGGCTGTGACTGGGTGGCAGACTCTGCTACAGGAATTTCCTGGAAATTTAAAATCAAATTCTGGCAAGGATCCCACAATTATAAATCTATGCATGTATTTCCTAACTTGTTACCTCTCTCCAGTGCATGTTACATGCCCCATAGATCTCATTCTCCTTGGTTTGATGACCCTAACAATGTCTGGTGAAGAGCAGAATGTACAAAGCTCCGCAGCATGAAGTTTTTGTCACTGTCCTGTTATTTATTCTCCGCTGGGTCCAACATACAAGGAAAGTTCATGACTGAAGATAATATAATGTCACATAAAGTACAAAATTCGATGTCATTACTCAGCACCTTTGTCTGTGAGTGTAGAAGCTTGGAACACAGTGACAGTCGCTCCATGTCTATTGTGCGCAGTTACACGAAGTCTGTAAAATGTTGCTGGCTTAAGACCTGAGATTGTATAGCTGGCTAGCGGAGGAGCACGCTCCATTACTGTCAACAAAACAGACAATCAGTAATCATATATAATAAACTCTTGAACAATCTTATCCATTTCTCCCTCGGTAAACCTCGATGTCTGCTCAGCCGCACTTGTCCATTGGTATTTTCTTACGTGGCAACTGATAGTTCATAAGGTGACCACTGTGTGGTGTCATGGTGGTAAATTACAGAAAATTAGTTAACTGGAACGTGTACTCCGGCTTTCAGAAATAAGACATTTTATGTTCTACTACAGATAATTTTAACAAAACACAAATTAAAAATGGATGCTTTCACTAGAAACAATGTGATATGACTAATACCAGGGTCATATCCCACATGTCACTATAAGAGATTAATAGCATTTTTAAACTTTAAAAACTAACTCTTAACTGACAAATCCCCAAATGTTAAAAAAGCAACATAATTATTAAGATTTACGTCAGACTACACAGCGCAACAACCCAGAAGACGGAACTCTTCATACTCACTGCTGTGAGAACCTCAAGTCTAACATAATTATTACTTATATTATTAGATATATCACAATTGAGTGAAATGATTATATGGTAAGAAATAGTACTAGTGGCCCTGAAATTCTATTTACTAGCCAGATGCTGACATATGCACTCTCATGTAGATAACCACTGGCCTTGGACATCATATATGAAAAAAAAAAAACAACCTCAAATTGACGTGCATTGAGTTTTGTATTCTCCAATGTAGCCAATTTTCCTAAAACCTTGAATACAAATGTTGTATATTTTACACTCCCTGTGCTTACATTTTTGACATACAGGTTACCACCACAGTACCTATGCTCCAGTTTTGCTCCACAGTATGACGTTCCAAAACAAAATGTGAAATGGGACATCCCCCATCTTTCCAGCGCTCAAAATGTAGGGTAAGAGCATGAGAGGAGCTTGAAATAGCATCTGCGCTGACAGGCGCACTTGGTTTGTCTCCTAAGGTCCACACTTCTGTTATGGGCCCTGCTTCCCCCTCACCAACCATATTGTAGGCTGCCAAAGAGAACTCATACAATGTTCCACAGTCCAGTCCACCCACTGAATAAGACAGCAAATGCCTAGGCAATCGCGTCTCAATCCACCGATTCTGAACTGATCCAACCTCTCTGTAGTGCAAGATGTAGCCATCCAAATGCAACAGTTCTGAGGCTCCAGAATTCACCCACTGGAGCGTCACATTGTACCAGCCAGCGGTAATCATATCTATGGTCGGAGGAGCTGGGGGAACTGTAAGGGAAGCAACATTTTTATATGAACTCAGTAAGGTAAAACTGTCCCTGTGTTTAATCAGAACATCAACAAGACATTATCAGGTAGAGGGGTAAAGATCCACTCATTCTTAATCTCGGCGCTACACGAAAATGAGAGGCAAGCTTTACGAACTACCAACTTTACACCTGGGGAAAGAAAAACAGGTAACCTTAGATAGGAGTGGGCGTCAGAGTCAGTTTGGTCTTACTGGTGGCAAAGAGAAAAATTCCTACACCATATTTTGAAATGAAACTCAGTCATCCAGATCATTAAAGTCATTTTTGTTTCTCAGGTATTTGTGGTGTTTTTATTCGTACAGATTTTCTTGTCACAATAGCAGTCAAACATCCACCCACTCGCCCAGTATTCTACTATAAATCCATTAATCATAATCTTTCTCAGGACGCTAGTAGTTACTCATCTAGCCAAGAAATTTTCTACCTTGTATTAAATCTAAATGTCCAATAAAATTTTCAAAGTAGCCCATCATCTGGCCCTACCCTGAGCCAGAGGAACTTAGTTCACACCCTATTTCTTTATGAATCTTTCATCTGCGTGTAGGTCTTCAAAGTTGTCTCCTTACTTTAGAATTTTCAACTAAACAGGCTCCCCTCATTTCATCCTCCCTAATTTTATTTCTCTAATCACAGTGCTAGAGGTCTGTACTGGTTTCTTGAACTGTCTACATTACAACAACTGTCACGTCAAATTATTCATTAATTGTAAAAATACTCACCAAGAACTCTAAGCACATGGACTAGCAATTCTGAATGATGGATATTATGAACATTGCATGAGTAGTTGCCTGCATCAGAAGGGGACACAGACTGCAGGCGTAGTGTGCCATTAGGGAAGATAGCAGAGCGCTGTCCAGCTTCAATTCTGTTAGAATTAAAAGTCCAGAAGATCTCTGGATAGGGATTACCAACAATACGACAATCAAAATTGACATCTGTCTTCCAGGGAGAAGTCACAATTGCGGGGAACGACAAAATTGCTGCAGGGACTGAAACAAATGAGATATTATATAATACAACACAAAAGAGAGAAAAAGAGGAACCAAGTAGCGAACATTCTGGACGCTCAGCAGTACTAACACCTAACCCTGCCAGTGAACATAATACTCAGCCAGTCCTATTCCCACAACCTATTTTCCTAAGGTCATTATTAATGTTATCCTACATTTTCTTCTTGGTCTTCAAAATTGTGTTTTAAGAGCGTTCTCCACCAAAATTGGTCTTCAAAATTGTGTTTTAAGAGCATTCTCCACCAAAATCCTGTATCTATTCCTTGTGTAGTACATCTTACCAACTTGCCAAACATACTGCAGCCTCCTAGATAAATAAAGAATGACTTCTTGGGGAAAAACATTTTAAATACACAAAAGAATTCTGTGAATTTCAGATGGATAATGGTTCAAAAATCAAATCCTTAACATTTATGATTCAGTTACAAATAAATCTTAAGAATCCTTTAGAAGAATTTATGATCTTGTGAATATATACATTTGTTAATAATACCACAGCAAAATAGGACCACATAGTTCCATTATGCCAAGGACAATCACAATAATTCTTACGGTATACACTTACCTCTAGAGCTGGGAGCTAGACTCACAACGGGGGTGCTTGGTCCCTCACCAACATGTGTCACTGCAGTCACCCACCACTCATAAATACTTTTCTCTCGTAGCTGGTCAGCTTCATAATGAGTTCCTGTTGGGGGTACAGTGTGAATAACTGGGTCCTTCGGTACACCGTGACGAACTTCCCGTTCATATACATTGTAGTGAGTAAGTACACCATTATTTCTGGTTGGTGGGGCCCAACCCAGTATGGCTGAACGGGGAGAACTGAGGGCCACCCTGACAGACGCAGGTGACTCGGGGACTGCAAGTAAGATTTATGATAATGTATATGAAAAATGGGGTTATAATTATGAATACAAGTGCTATTCATTTGTATAACTTATTTTGTAGCTCCAAAGAAATATATTTCTAAGGCTAGTTAAGTAATTATCCCCTTTAGCTGTTTTCAAAATCATAAATTTTAAAAAGAATTATGCCAATTATTTAATACATGTTATGAAAAATTTGTGCTATTTTTATTACTGTGGATATCTTGTACACAGAATGTTCTGAAAATCTTTTGAAAACGTTTTTCTAGTTTGTTCTATGTACTGCATGGGACAACTCTGACATTCTGACTGCTATTATATGGTCTTTGGAGAGTTAGATAGTTTGGATAGCTGCTCATCGTAAACCCACCGATGACACCGCACTGCAGGAAAGTGTAATTTTAACAAACTCTTACCATCTTCTGCTGTGATGCAAGTCACAGATTCACTCCATGGTCCAGTACCAATGGATGTCATCGCTGTCACCCGAACAGAGTAGTTACAATATTTATCCATATCCACTAATACAGTAGACAATTTATTATTAACTTCCAAAATGATGGTATCATCATCTAGGGATTTGAAACCTTGAAAAAAAAATTATGAAATATCATAAAATCCATTATAAGAGACCGAAAACACCAGATTACAGTTAATCCCAAAGCTCCTCACATTCAATTCCATGGATATACAGTAAAGTAAGCATGGAATGAATTTATTCTACCACGACAGCGCAATATTCCTAAGCAGAGTTTCTTTCTGTCAATTTACAAGATTAATACAAAACAATAAGTGCAACTTTTTGTATTTGTACATTATTAATAAAAGTGTAAAGGCATACTCCAGTGGTACATTCACATTTTCAAATACTCATTTATTGCACATAGTAGCAAGAATTTTCCAAATTAAACCTGCTTACAGTTTTCATGAAAAATTCACACATTTTTAATTATACACACACACATTTTCATTTGTCATAGTATGATAAAAAATGTGACACAGCAAAGTGGAACTTATAGTACAAATAATGAACAAAAATTAGCATGTAATAGCATGGTAAAATGCTATACAGAGTACTCAATATAATATTTCAAATATTGTTAGAAATCCTAATATAGTCTCTTAAAAAAATAGGTAAAATAAATTTCTCATATATACTTAGACGTTTGCATCTTCTTAAAATGTAATATTCTAGTTTTAATATTTCACTTAAGATATTTCTACACTTAATATCTGGAAAATTCTCTGTACTTACCAGCTGAAGCAGAAAGTTTCTCATATGCAATGCGATAGCCAGTTATAACTCCATTTCGTGATGCAACGGGGGGCGGAGACCATGCCATATGCAAACTTTGAGATGTGACAGTACTGCAGTGTACATCATGTGGTGGGGATGACGGTGCTGTAACAAAGGGATGAACTTGGGTGTATTCCTCTTCCTTCGACGTCGTTTCACTCTTACGTAGGTCAACGCACAAAATGTCTCCCATCTCTTCTACGTTCACTAACTTTTTCCTTTTTATTTCTTGCCAATCTTTCCCTCTCTTTTTTGAAGTCTTCTTGTACCTGGATGAACCATCTTGTTCTAGGTCATCCCATGGGCCCCTTTCGCTTAAATTTTAATATTATCTTACGAGAATATTTCAGTAGACAGAGGTAAGTGCGAATGACAGCTGTCATTCATGATGTAGTTAAAATAAAGCTAACTAAAATGTTTAAATGGACTCGTCCTCTGGTGTCTACACTGACCTGCTTCTCCTGTGACTGCTATTACTCCGGAACTAGCCGGTCCCGCTCCAACATTGTTGAAAGCCTGAACAGTCACTTTATATTTGGTGAAACTACGCAGCCCTTCCAGAATCCATCTATTTGAATCATCTTCTTTCACAGTTATGTATTTGTAGCGGTCTTCAACTCCAAGCCTAGAGTAGTATGTTATAAGAAATTAGTTTTTTTGAGGAAAAACTGTTACATCATTATCATGATTTAAAAAAAACCCCACTCATCTGAAATACACTCACCCAAGCTGTACATAACCCAAGTAATAACCAAGAATTTGCCCATTGCGATCATTCGGCTCAGGTGGGTTCCACGTGGCATGCAACGCGTGTGGGCCCACTGCAATCACGGCGAGGTTCCGAGGAGGACCAGATGGTACTTCGGGCTCTGTCATTATGCTCACTGCTTGGCTGGGGGAACTGGCTCCAAGCTGGTTGAAGGCAGTCACCCGGAAGTAGTACGTCGTTGCTGGTTGCAGATCGGTGATCCTAGCCCATGGCTGTGGTGCTGATGGAGATGTTTCCTGCTTGAAGTCCAGCAGTACAGGGTTGTTTTTTATTTCCGGAAAATCTTCTGAAATTGTTACCAGCACATTTTTGTGAAAGGTCACAACAAAAGATGAGATTATCGAGGTCACATGTTAATTTTACAAGGAAAATTACATATAACTGCTGAACAATTTATCTCAACATGGATTAACTCATATAGTGCATATATTTAGTATTGCCTGAGGTTTCTTTAATACAAATTGTACCTACATAATAAGATTCATTATTTATTACAACAATTTTATAAACATATATAATATATATATATTTATATTGACCACTTTTCTATTATTTACAACTGCAGTGCTGTAATTTATGAATTAAATGTTAGCTAAGCAGTGAAGCAGTACAAAACAATATCACACTATAAAAATTCATTATGATTAAAATGAGATTTGAGGGTCTCATAGGCAAATATAAGGTACACATACATTTCAATTCCATTTTGACCCCTGGTTGGCCTGAGAATGGTATAATTATACAAAAATACGTCTCCAAATAGAGAAGCAAACATTTTATTGCATAAAGTATGTTGAAGGTCTTAATTAGTGCATTTTATTCATGTCAAAATGGCACGAATCTTGAGCAAAAACTGAACAGGAGGTAATTTTTGAGACTGGCTCTCATCTAACAATGAAAGCAAAACTGCAGGCGATTGTAATAAAGCAAGCAGAATTGAGATAAAAGCTGGGCAAGATCTCAATACGCTTGGAGACTTTTCAGATACTGAGAAAGTTCACCTGGATTTTGTGACGATGTTACTGCGTAATGTAGGATTGGGCTGTTTCCATTTTGTGGTTCATTCCAGGCCAGTTTTACATCGCGACTTCCACACTCCAGCACACGAATATCAATTGGTGGTTCAGGTACATCTGTAAATGCATGCATTGAAGAATTAATCTTTACTTTTACTATAATTAGGTAAATAAGTAACCAGGAACTTACAGTCTGTCTCACGGGCACAAAAACTCACTAACTAAATGAAAGAGAATCTTTGAGATACTGAAAGACCCAGTGAAGAACCTATAATCTTTAATGAAATGTTCAGAACAGCTACTTATTGGAACTATTTTGAGAAAGTTAAATCCAGTCCACATCTTATACCCCACGTCCTTAAGATCCATTTTCATATTATCCTTCCATGTAGCCTAGTTCTCTCAAGTATGTTCTTCTCACCAGGATTTCCAAATAAAGTTTGTATGCATTTCCTATCTTTCCTTTATAAGCTACATCCCCTGCCCTTGATATCCCATACATTATTACCCAAATTTCTTTGACACCCAGAATCTCAGTCTGGTGTCTGTGACGAATATACTTGAGGTCCTCATTCCAGCAACTGTATCGTACCTTGAACAGAGAGTTGAACAACCGTCTCGTCCTTTCCAAATGGATTTGATGCGATGCAGACATATTTTCCAGAATCTTCAGTTACTGCATGGTGGATCATCATCTGTGACATGGCTGAAGAGTCCAAATGACTCTCCTTCAGATAAAACCTAATGAAATAATAAGTAATGGCTTTACAGTATCCCATTATGGAAATTTAATAAACCTAGTGGAAGGAGGAAACATTTATGGTATGATTTTACAGCTCTCATGAAATAGGTTGATTATCAACGTCAACACAGAAACACAGCTTAGTGACTTACTCAGAGGCACAACAAATAGAGGTGTCAAATTTTGGTTCCTCTTAAATATGTTATTGCCAGGAGATGGTTTATGTTTGCAGTAATGATCAAGGAAAGGTACTGTCCCATGACAATGGAGACTCCAAACAATGCTGATCTCCACCAGACACTGCCACACACCAGAAGGGTAAGACAATATTTTCTTCTAACGCTACAAGGCATTAATATAACCTATTACGTAACATTAAAATATAAATATTAAAGCGTTATGCCTTTATCATGACTTGCATCAAAATAGTAAAGAGTAATGAAAAATATGTTAGCTTATTATAGGATTATAAATGTGAAAAATCAACTGGGATAAACAGATTTTTCATTGAAAGTTTATATTGCAGAAGATCTTTGAACAAACATAACATGAAGTGACACAGCCTCTGGTTTAAATAGAAAGTTGCAATTTTTAATTCTTGAACTTAAAATATAATACCTGAGAATACTTAAGGAAATTTGGTTGGGTGACAAAATATTAAAATTTTTCACTATCAAACTGAAAGCTGAATGACAGTTTTGCACACTGCCATGTTCTTATTTTATACTTACAGTATACCAAAATGTGGAAAAGATATAAATATTTCTCTAAATGAATAACAAATGATATGTAAAACTGTTTTGAAGGCCCCAAATGGCACAGTAATAATTGCTTTATTAATTTCAAGTTAAATATAAGAAATAATATTGCAACCTGTGAGCGTAACTAACCTGATGTGCTGTGGTAATATTCTTCCAATATACTGAGAGACGTAAGTATCAATAAAGGTTTATTGTCATTTGGTAGTAATTCCCAAGAGAAGAAAAACCAAGTTACAAAAATTCAATTATGACAAATTAATGATATTCAAAATTATGCATTCAAATGAAGATACATTTTTTGTGACCTTATGTAGAATCTTCTGTTAGTGTTGTATTTTGTCTGCATGCAATTAATTTTGTACCTAATAGACAAAACATCAACAATCACCAACTGACAAATTTGTAAAAGAACACTTCACTTACCTTTCATTCAATTCATGAGAGATTTGAATACCATTGTGATGCCAAATTATCTGCATTGGCATATCTCCTTCTGCTTCACACAACAATGCGGCCATTTCTCCTCGTCTCACTACTTCCCGTCTTAGAGATAACACAAACCGAGGCAAAGCTGCAAGCCGAGAGACTATTAAATCCTATGTACTCAATAAATAAATATGAGCATTTAGTTATTGTTTAATTTTCAAATGTAATCTGAAGTATTTCAGAAAAGTTAAATCAAAACAATAAAACCGTGTGTATTTTCATGAACACCATATACAAACCCAGGTATTTTTCATTATATGCAAGTTTAAAAAATAATATTCAGTTTTAATTTCATTTAAATAATTTTTCACAAATTTCTTGCTGGCCAATTGAAAGATGCAGGGAGGAGGGGCATTGACTACTGTACATGTGGCAGAGGAGGAATATGAAAGAGAGAGAGAGAGAGAAAATGACCCAGCCATGTAACCTGTTCTGCAAATCTACTACTGGCACTCTTTAGGGGATAACATAACCTTCAATACAACACTTCCTTGTCAGTGTTCAAGTCCTTGTTAATATTCTTGCGCATTTTTTAGTCTTATTTCGTTATTAGTCCTTGGAATATTTTCATAATAATATGTTGAAAAGATAAGAGGTATCCTGTTATTGGTACGAAACAACTATGGGTAAAGACAGCAAGAATATAAATAAATCTTGAAGAGACAAAATTAGCTGTGACTCAATGTTATAAAAGAAATGAGAAAATGCAACATTCTTTGCATGGGAATCCAAGAATCCACATTCAGGAACATTCATAACACTGCAGAAAGAATGAAATCTAGTTGTGCAAGTGTAACACAATAAGTGCTGTTAGAATGTCGGAAACGAGAACAGAAGTAATGTGGGAAAATGGAAAAATTTCTTTCAATTTGGCTACAGAATAAAAAAAAATGAAAATCATGTGAAGATGCCACAAATATCAAGGAAAAGCTCCAAATATTTACAATTCTGTCATGAACGATTATGCTCCTAAAGCAGTGACGAAGTTTAACGCCCATTGCTTAAAAGAATGGCACAGCTTCCACAACCTAAAAATTTGTGGAGCTAGAGGTAGTGCGGATGAAGCTTCAGTTTCTATATTTCCTGAAGAAGATAAGGAAATTGTTGAAGAAAGGGGGTGCTCACTAAAACAAATCTTCAACCTTGATGAGATGGGGATGTTTTGGGAAATAATGCCAAGCTGAACTTACTTATCAAAAGAAGAAGCCTGTGCTCCAGGATTTAAAGCCGCCGAGGATCGAATCACGGTCCTGTTGGGTGGAAATGAAAATGATGGTTACAGACATAAACTCCTTGTACTGCATCATTTGGGAGATCACGTACAGCCAAACCTTCAAGAATCACTATCAAGCAGAATATTTTCAAAATTAACAGAAGCAGCTGACGGAGAAAATAAATCAAATTAAAATAATTTTTGAAAAATCAAAACTTCAAGGATGTAATTTATACCATTATCGAAGCGTGGGGAGATGTGCCAGTGACACGTATGCATTTTGCGTGGTGAAAATTGTTGCCACATATCATGAAAGACTTTATCGTCATTGAGTTTGCACCGCAATGGATTCAGTGCATTACCTTGGCAATGCAGGCTGCTTTTGATGAGGTGGAGGGAAAATATTTTGAGTTGATGGAGTGTCGTGATAATGATGACATGATACCTAATAAATTAAAACTTTTCACCGATAGCTTGGCCTTAATAAAACTGTGAGTGATGATGATGAGAGCAACATTGATGAAGAAACAACATTCTGTGAATTAACAAAGAACATTTTGCAAAACAGTCCTGCAAAAATTGAAGAAACTCTTCAATTTTGCAAAACAGTCCTGCAAAAATTGAATAAGCTCTTCAAGAATTTAAAAATTATGACTATAATACAGAGTGCATTAGGTGTAAAAAAAATTGTAGGCCAAGATTTCTCTTGTTATTATCAGCCATTTCACGATAATCAAATATTGAATGTAAATAAAGATTGAAGTACCTAGAATTTTCAAAATCCAAAAGTTAAAGTGATTTAATAAACAGCTAGCATCAAAATTTATTCCAGTCATTCAAAATCTCCTTCTTACTTACTTAGTTACTTTTGCCAAATGCCAATTAAGCAAAGACACAAATATGCTGGTCTAATTTGAAGAAAAGTTTGACAATACTTTTCCAAGACAAATGGCTAAGTCCCATTTAAAAACAGAGGTAAAGGCTATTCTTCACTTGTCCATCTATGTTCCCTGGTTGAGTATACTATAGGGTAGAGGACTAGTGTTGATACGTAGATCACATTTTAAACTTTGAGTCCACATTTTTGTTTGTTTGTTAATACACATCTGGCATAAATAACTGTAATTAATGGAAGGTATAAAGAAGTCACATATAAATAAATACAAGGATATTAGGAATGACTGGAATTATGACACCATGTGTAGGCTTACATCACTCATGGTTTCAGATTTAGGAAAATCAAAGAGCTCAATTTTTTTCCAAACAGGGTGTATCTAGTAGAGCATTAACCATTCTTTGTCCCTGCCCTCCTGCTCTATGATCACAAGATAACTGATATGGATAATATATTTCCACAAATAGCACTTCGTGGAACTCAAATCACACGCCCGTGTATGATGCACACCCAAATTCATTAAGCAGAACTTTTAGAATATTGTGAATGGTACTGCGATAAATTTATTCTTGTAAATGCTACCTTTACACTACATCTACAGGTTCTACGTAGAGTTCTTTTTCAGGAAATATAATGTCTCAAGTATCAATATAATAGATTCTTGCACTGAAAATATGCTAATAGAGCCACAGCAAATACTTGTGGTTGAAATCTGGATTCTGAATTCCAGGTCTGAGGGAACACTCACCATTAACTGTTAAAAAAACCACAGCACTGAGACTAGCACCAATGCCATTGTTTGCCTCACACATGTAGTAACCTTCATCCTCTTCCTTGACATCCTGAATTAGGAGTGTACCATTTTTCAGAGAGACTTCCAGCTCATCAAATTGAGTAGCAAGTTTACCTGACCAAATTGAGCATACACAAGTTCAAGGATAAGGCACAGAAAAATATTCCAGTACGAGAAAATCTGTACTGAAAATTTAATTTTTTTTTTTTTTACAGAAACGTTTCATAAAATGGGAAAAAATGTATTCTCATTCATTCTGACCCATGAGTGAAATTAATACTCTAATGTAGCTTAATTGTATATAATAAAGAACAACAAATTTTTAAAAAATTTTCTATACAAAAAGCTGTTTATGACAAAACTTGGTGTGCTGATTACAAAAAATTATAGTCAAAGTTGTAGTGCAGATATATATTTTGTTATTCTGCATTTTTCATCAATAAGCATAATATATGACATATAATCCACTTATGCATGACAATAAACCTTTATTCACTAATAAAATATCATATTCAAACAGTATCGTTGATAAAAATGAGAACATTATGTGAAAACTTTGTTTATAATATGTACTGTACTATCGTCATCTGTCACCTAACTTAAGGATCCATGGATGGAATGTAATAAACTTGTATATGTATATATGGTTTGTTTATTTCGGTATGCGTGCAGTTTATGTGCTTGTATTTGTGTGTGTGTGTGTCTATGTATGTGCGTGCATGCGTATATACACACGTATGTAAGCATGCCTGCCAAAAACAACATAAAAATCTAAAATAATACTTAAAAAAATATACTCTGAAAAGTGTAACAAAGTTTAAAATTATTACTTGTCTTTGTAAATAGTGATTTTAAAAATTGAAACCAACCAACAAATGAACCACCACAAATATATCAACAAATATCATTGGTTATACATTGCATTATTTTATCAGTTCTTACATGAAGAATTATAAGACTGTTCGCGCTCCATTACATGATAGGAAGGCTAGGCGAGAAATTACGGACAATTTTGTTTATAAATCCTGATGGTAAGAAACAATTACACAGATGTAAGCAAAGAAGAAAAGTATTAAAATGGATATTAAGGAAATATTATGTGGATTGATTTCATCTGTTTCAAGAAAGGGTCCACTAAAGAAGGTAGGTCTCATATAAGAGCGACTGCCAACTTCTCAAGGCTGATTAATTCCCATGAAGCTGGTTATATCATGTCAGTGGAACAGTCATTTGCCTGTACTTAAACATAACTTATTTAGTAAGCAATAATTACCGTGTCCCTTTCGCCAAATGACAGTAGGCAGCGGAAAGCCGTCAGCCTGGCAGTGCAATGCTACTGCCTGCCCAGCAACCACATTGGTGTCTTCAGGTTCAACCACCCACTCAGGGGGCACTGGAAAACCCAGAATATTACATAAAATGTAATTTCTCAAGAAACTACTACAAGAAATCAGTGTACAGAGAGAATTAAATCCATTTCACTGATTACCTCTAAATAATACCAATCTTTGAAGTGGGCTACGATATAAAACATCTCTCTAATGTTAAGTAACACGACGAACAATGTTCGGTATGAAGTGGTCACTATGAGGTACCACAGTGACAAAGAATATAAAAATTGTCAACAGGAACACGCACTCACACACAGACACACAAATTGGCTATTCATAATGAACATGCAGTTTCATGACAGCCTATTTCAACAAAAACTCAGTTAAAGGAACACTGCCGCTACATAAGAATAAAGAAATATCATTACGTCAGCAAAACTACGAGGGTTCAAGGACAGACTGAGACATGCTGTGCTCTAAGCTATGTTGAGTTACACAGACCCCCATAACATTTCTATCGATACAAAAAAGATACCGACATTCTACAACTTTTATAATAACTGACAGAGATGCAGTATAAAAATTAATAACTGAACTAGAAATATTTTGTAACACTTCTTTTCGAGCTGTGTGATGTCTTATTTATTTTATTTTATAATAACAAAAGAAAAATAAGGGCTTTGAAACAATATAATTAAAACAAATTAATTTTGAGGCCCTCCTTAAAGTGATATCTTCAGCAATAGCTTACTTTCTTTATATATAAATGTGGCATTTGGTTCAATTTTTTATATCCTTAACAATAGTTAAGAGCTAGAAAGCACATAATTATCTGTGAAGTTTTAGAAAACTAAACTCTGACATAAGACAGTAAGAGATCTGCAGCTGAGAAAATTAGTTTCGAAGGAGATTTTATGATAATCTAAAGTAACATAGTGGAGTTAACTTTCCCTTCAGTGTAATCAAAATTAGATTTTCCAAACATTAGTGCAAAACATTTTCCTGGAGTTTATAATAAGTAAAGATACTAATTTGTCTGCCCGTCTTACATCTGGTCAAAAGAAAATCGTAAAGTGAAATATGAAACTAGATAATTTTGAACCAAAACAAAAAAAGAAGCCTTGTGATTTGTACATAATAGAGTAATACCAAAAATTTTGTTAACTTAAGAATGCAGTTTATTTTGACATGTAGGCTCATTATACCATTTTTACATGTATATAGGTACGCAGTGAATTTCAAGCTCTCTTATAACTACACTTATTCACCAGAAAAAAGACCCTCGATCATGTCGCGTTCATGAGTGATTCTGAACAAGCCATTGGGCTGGGACAGGAAGGAGCAAGGTAAGTTACCACTGATGGTGAGGTGTGCTGTGTGCGTGGTGACTCTTGCCGAGTTGCTGGCCACGCACGTGTAGTTGCCGCTGTCACCACGCCTGACGCTATTCATCGACACAATGCTAGAGTATGTGTCGAATGGTGTGATGCGCATGTGGCTTGGGAGAGGTGACCAATTTTTCAGCCATGTCAGATTCAGCGGTAAATCCCCCTGGTGCACCGTACATGCCACCTGGACCCGCGCCCCTTCAGCCAACTTCGGGAAAGCGAACGGTGTGATCTCGGGGGGCACTGCAATGTGCAAGAGTGCAAGGTGCAAGAGTGCAAGTGCTGTGTGCAGGTGGTGGGGCAGAGCAGGCCAGTGCAGTGCGCCTTGTGGGCCGATCCATCCGTCATGCAAATCGGCACATCACGACATAAATTTCATTTTATATCCGGTGCTTTCTTTTTCAAATTAATGTAACAGAAAATGAATCACACTGCCATTTACTTTCACATGTTTCAACATTAATATGCATAAATGAACCAATGTATTTCAAGAACTGTTTATGTATTCGAAGTTACTGACTCTTACATAAACTGAAAGAGAACTATGGCCAGTCACATCGGATACAAGAAAATGTTTTCCATTAATCTATATGACTTATTAATTTTTGAAAATTCTAATTTTACTCCTTGAAATCAGTAATATGTTCCCCCACTACCTACGAACTAGGCATTATAACCATGTATGAAACATATGTAAAGGCAGTAAGAGAATGTGGAGTGCCAATTTACAGCTGGATGGAAAATGGGCCATGTGCTGTGCTGCTAGGTGTCCAATGCTGTCAACACAATTCCCTAAAGTAGCTAAGAGAGTGGGGAAAAGTTGCAGGTGAGGTACCATTAACTGCCAACATGACCGAGTGGGAAGTCGTGGCAGCATGATTGCTGGCTTGGCACGTGTAGCGTCCGCCATGCTCCACGCTCAGCTGTTCTATCAGCAGAGTACTACTGAACTCCCCCAGATTGCGCACTGTGAGTGCAGGGAGTTCCAAGCTCAGAACTTCATCTTCATCCTTGAGCCAGTGGATTGAAAGCGGTATGTCTCCTTTTGTTACGAGGCACTGCAACCCCAAGCGTTCACCCAACCGGACACCGCTCTCAATGGAAAATGGATAAATGCTGGGTGGCTCTGTAATGGAGGCATCACATCATATAATAGCCCCAACAGACGAGGTGTACGTTGGTTTCCTGTGGAGCTCCTCCCATAAAATTATTAGAAACTTTTTGTTACAAAACAGCCAGCGCTCAAAAATGGTATGTATCAAGGAAAATCAAATTAGTGATTATTCTTTCATGTAATGTTGTACAGAGTATTTTAAAATATACGGTTCAGATCAAAGCCTAACGCGGTCATTAATTTCAATTTATTAACAATTAGCAGCACCAATAAATTTCCTGTACCCTAGTGCTATGACCATTTAATTTCAAACTCATTTATTTCTGCACTAAGTTAGGAGCGTAAAGATTGCAGCATAAGTCAAATCAGAAATTTAAATACTGTCAAGATGAATTCATGACTGAGAAAGTAAAACCAGGCGACGCTAATGACTTGGTGCCTCCTTCTGATAGATTACTGCAGTGAATTATTAGCGTTCATCATTGCTATCACATTCATTACTCATTTAGTTCAGTATAATGTCTAGATTAGTAGAAAATATAATAACTTCCTCTCGCGTTCCAAAATATTTGGGCCCAAAATATTACGTTTCTTAAAATGATGAACAGGAACAAAGTAGGAAGACATTTATGACCAAGTTTTGGCTCTGTGTCCCTCTCGAGGAACCAAAGTCATCAATGTTTCAGCAGAGAGTAGCATTTAAGCCACATATGTACAATTTCTGAGTACCAGAAGAAGTCAAATTTCAAAATAATAATTTACAAAACTTACCCATTACACTGATATCTACACTTCCTTTGTCAGACAGACCTTGACGGTTCCTCGCCTGGCAAGTGTATGTACCCTGGTCTGCCCTCTTCTGCAAGTTTTCTACCGTTAATGTGCCATTCGGATGAACTGTCTGTCGGTGATTCACAGGTAACATACGACCATCTACATAAATGGAAGATCGTTATCAATAATACGTAATTTGTACTCAAACACTTTCTAATTTACATTTTTATTTCACGACTAAGTGCTTCAAAAAATGCTTGATATATATAAAATTAAAAAAAATTGTTTAAAATGTTCATTTTGGAATTTTGAACGTAGCTCACATCATTTCTACTCCAAATGCTGTTCATTTCTCAGCCTTGGACCACGTGTTTTTTAATCCGACGCCGGTTTTAAGTTGCGTTTCGGCTATTAATTCACGAGCAGACCAAGTTCTGTATGGTTCTGCGAATATTTTCCTGTCTTCCAAGCCCCCACGTGTTCCTACATGATGAGCGTCCATGATGTCTGTATTCGAAAGTCCGATCAATTATTAGGTCATCGTCGGAGTCGACTCGCGAAATATTACGGCGATAAGAAGAAACATTTTCGATGTCTGGTTGAAGGAAACTGGGACCCCCTTGATTTCGGAATCCTGGGGCCATGGCCACCTCAAGTTCAATGTCTTATATTTTAGTGACGTCCCTAGTAAAGGTTTCGTTAACTTTTCTCTATTACCTCACAGTAATTGTCCCAAATCTGCGGTAAATGAAAATATAACCGATTCAGTAACCAATTTAAGCCTCGTAAGTGGATCTCACTCTCAACACTCACGACGAACGGGGTGCAAAATTTTCGCGGTGTTTTATAATTCACCAGAATGTTCTTGATTGTCCGTGCAGTTTCCACCATTTTAACTCATATTTCGAAAAATACCAAACGATGTTAATGACAAACACTGCCATAAGTGCAATTCCTTCAGGCGTCTTATCACTAACGAGTGACGTTAGTGTTAAAAGTTTCTCGGTATACCACGTGTCGCTCTCCATTGTAACAAGCCACGTGGCTTAATCTCGTGTTTTCACCAAATTCCGGTTTCTCAAAACGGTTTATGAGATCCGATGGAGATCAATACTAGGTGATCTGGAATGGGGGCCAAACCAGTTTTGTGGAAAAGTTGAAAAACTCTCCGATTTAACGCAGGTCTCTCGTTAAAAGACTTTGAACACACAGCGAAGACAGAAATCTCCCTTTCGAATATTTCACGACTGACCTTTACAGTTGACGAAATTATTAACTCGAAACGAAAGTAAGTAATAATAATAATAAAAAAGAAACTGTTGGAAAACACTGAAGACCAGAATGTCGAAATGATTCGAGACAAGGAAACAAAGAGAAAAAGTGGCTTTGGGTGACAGCTAAATGTTAACTCCTTTCTAATTATGGGTGTCCTGCTGTGTCACACGCTGTTTTAAACGCGTGAAATTTAATATTAGTATTATTACATCACTGCTATTTGCTGTCAGCTTTTAGATTAACTGTGTGACTTTCCAAGCGAATGACATAGTTTGCGTATTCGTGAAATTCCTCATTCACGAAAATACCATTTAATTCTCAATAACTAAAAGATTTAAAATTTTACTGACGGGGGGAATATGACGACAACGAGCCCCAGAATGTGGTGTGACTGAATACAATTTTTCCCCCTTTAATTTGGACCGGGTTCGATTCCCGGCGGTGCCCGAATTTATAACTTGTGGTGGGCAAGGCCGTGGTCTAGGCAGCCCGGAGTTTTCCTCCGTGGCATCCCAACAATTACTTCGTTCACACACAGAAGAAGGCAATGGCAAATCACTTCTGGATCATCTGCCAAGAACGTATATGAACAGGTCCCAGTCCGAGAAAAGGATGGAAGGATCCTGTTCATATGGACCTGTCGTCAGACAGAACACTACAAATAAATAAAAATAATTTGGACACATTCAGTGGCATTTTCGTAAAATAACTTTTCGTCTGCAATTTGTTTTGTAAATCAAAATGAATTGCAAAACACTGGCAACGCTGGGTCACGCTCCAACCCTCACGCGTTACGTCTACAGCCTGAACGTAATAACTTCTCATCTGATCGTATACAAAGATGTACTGGGTCCTCTGTCCCCTCCCAGGTGAGTATTTGTTACGATATCCAGGCTCAGAGATCATCGCCTTCCATTTCCTCAGCCGGTCTGACTCCGATCCACGATATTTTACGCCACTTATACGGCAGATAAACGGATAATCCAAGGCTGTAAATTTCCATTACTTACATCATTTATCCCTGTCACCTTAAAGTTGGTGGAAACATCTCGCATTCTTTACCTTTCTCCCAAGTAACTGCGTGGATGGGAAACCCGCCAGCAGGACACGTTACTACCAATGGCTCTCCTGCTACAGCTGAGATGGGAGGCATCTTGCGTACTATTGGAAGCCCTGGGAAAATAAATTAATGACTTTTTCCACCGACTGTTCAAGGTGTGAAGTTCTACGAACGCCGAATTCGTTTAATGTATAATTTCTAAATCGCAAAGTTATTTTGTGATCACCCTGTATTTACGTCTCCACAACACAATAGAGTGTGGATCTGTTATGTGAGACTTTGTCGTCCACGGAAGGCTCTTCGTTAGAATCTACTTTTCTTCTAATTACACTTTTTTTAAAGTGACTTAACTCTGCTTAAGTCGATATTTCTTACCAGCAGCTGTCGGTCCTCTTGAAGTTTTAAATTCTGTTCTCACAAACAAACAAACAAACCTAATCTGTTTGGGTTTACGTATCAATGCATTACAAAATGGACACTGACAATTAAAATATATTCGTCAACGAGACAATTACGTGAAGCTGTTACTCGAGTTGCCTGGAACTAGGAGCAGGGCCGGGGGTGGACGAACTTACCGTAAATTCTGAGAGGGGCAGAATGTGTCGTGCGTCCCACTCGATTTTCCGCCGCGCATTCGTACGTTCCCCCATCCTCCACGACCACTTTACTGATGTTAACATGACTTATGACGTCACCAGCCACAGTCACGTACTGCCCGATGACGAATCTGCACGGGAGAAATTCCGTAATGCAGATACGAGGATACCAATTCTGTATCTGCTCGCAACGACAGATTTTTACCAAGGGAATAGGGGACGAGTAGTCAATAATATGACGTAAATAGGTTAGAGGACGTTGTTTGAGGGATTTCAACGCTAAAATAGACAATTAAAATATGCGAAAAGGAATTTAAATATGATATTAATAATGAATAGCGAACTTTTTTTTTCTTTCGAATTCTTATAAACGACCTCTATGCTACAGTTAATAATTCCATATTTATTTTATCTGGTGGTGATCTGAAAAATTTACCAAGACATAAAGACGTGTTTAAGATTTCAAATCTGTACGAGATGATTTCGATTCTGTTCAAGACAAACGTATACATATTAGAATCAGAAGACTAAAAGACTAAGAGCATTAGTTTCAAAAGATACATCGGCGATGTTTACTTTCGCGTCTCGCTTGGATAATAAATTAGATTTTGTGATATTTCAGGCTCGGAAGATGGCTGCCTTCTGAGTTGTTGCACCGTACAAAACCAATTCTTTTCTCTCCTAAGAATAAAACACGCGACTGAACTCAATTAACTACTCAACAACAAGTTACTAAGAACACAAATGTTTCGCGTTACCTGTCATTATGAGGCAGAGGGAAACCGTCCAGTTTCCAATAGATCTGTGGCGTTGGCTGACCCGTGGCAATGCACTTGAGCGAAACGTCTGGTCCAGGCTGAAGTGTTTGCTCGATAAAACGGTACAGCATCTGCGGGCGTGATGCTGCAAGGAACACGATGAATTAAATATGGCCGCTCGCCTGCTGAGAAGTCACGTTAATCAACGAGGACTGCATTAAGGCTTTGACCGGGATGTTCTTTTGTTAAATCTTATGTGGTACCGCCTGATTCGACTTCTAATGGTTAAGTGAAGTGTTTTCTTCGCGGTACGGTCTGGATTCGTAAATATTATGAAGACGAGCTTCGGCTTCAAAGGGTTAATTCCAAAGTTTTTACGTTTTCAATGGCTCGTAAGTTACTCGGCGATGCTGAATCAACTGTGAATGTTATCCCGCGTAGAAAAAAGTAGTTTTATGTGGAGAGGAATCGATACTGGAGTCCTGCAGGTATAATTGAATACAACCGGGGGAAAAATCTTTTGAGATAATCAGTGTCTTCACTCGTTAAGGTAAATTACAAGTTACGTCGCGGTTAATAGTATTTTGATTAGGACGGGCTAAAAACATCCGTGTTATTGAAGGATACTCACAGATTACAACGAAACGTGGCTCGGCATTGGACGTAGCGCTGATTTGATCTATTCGTTCCATATTTAGTTTCCGCTGTTTGAATTAAACTACATTACGCGACCTAATGCATATGGAGTAGCATTAAGTGGCCCTGCTGCAATGCACTTTAACCGAGTAATTCTACAAAATCGAACAGTCAATATTTTGTTTCAAATGCGGACTAACACAGTGTAAATGGAGTGAATAATTACGGATAAACCATAATCCGTTCTTTAATCTCGGATTCCGATTTTATCCGCGGATGAACAAATTTCAGCTGCCAATGGACAGGAGGTTGCCTGAGGTCCCTGGGAATGTTGCTTACCGCCGAGACGCAGTTCCGCCGTGGCCTGGACGCTGTCCCCGTCACCAGACGCCACGCACTGGTACATTCCTTGGTCCTCACGCTGAACTGACTCGATAGTGAGCCGCCCTGCGGCGCTGGTGTCGCGGTCATCATGTTGGGAACCCTCATCTGGCCTGATTATACGTTGTCCATCTTTCAGCCAAATTATCTGCGATTTAATTATATATTTCATGACGCTCTCTGTCCATTATATAGACGACGAATGCCATTTTCGTATACATCACATTTTGTCTACTGAATCCTCCTAAAAGGGAAAAATATTACAAACAGGCAACAAACAAAAATAAGGGGTTAAATAAGGTCGATATATGACGTTCGGATGATAATTATTCGAAAATCAGGCGAGGAAGGAAAGAAATGTATTCATTTTTATTGAACAGAACTGATGTCTAAGAAATTGGAAAGAAACACATTTATAGAAAAAGAAGATGATAGACAAAATGTTTGTATTAAATATACGAATGTCCTCGCAGAAGGAAAATTTTTAATTTAAAAGAAGAGTCTCTTAGATAACGAGAAGGAATTCAAAAACTTTGAAAAAATTTAAAACCAAGGTAAATTTAAATAAGAAACATAGCACAAATGTGATATATCCTCTTAAGCAAAGTTTCGAACACTGTCGCAGATCACTTCCGGTCGTGAAGAGAACTTGACGGAGCCCGGACAAACGAAAGGAAAACGAAGCCCCAAACGGTGATGATTTCTTTGTTCTGAAGCAAAGAGTTTCCACTTCGTACAAATAACGTTATGGAGCTGACAACTTTGAACTGTCTTAAAAGTTAGGCAAGGGGCCTGATCTGTAATTTATTCATCTCTCACAAGTTCGTTTTTCTGTTCTTTCCTGTGGTAAATTGTAGCGTGGTGATTCAGAAGGTCAACCTAAAATGTATTCCGCTGCTACAAAACCACTAAAGCTGAAGAGATTTAAAAATTGAATTTATAATAAGAGGACTGTCCACAGCGAGTACATGTTTTTCGAGACATTTCTGAGCAATCCAAACATTTAATTAATACAAACTATAAAACGATTTAATGAAAAACACCAAACTTACACATAAAAGTGTTTATTTCTTATAAACTAAAATAAAAGGATTAAGATTTTTTTTAATTTTTTTTTCAACCTTTAGCCGCATTTCAAAATCAGAACGTAAATTCCTAGTAGGTTATTATTTTTACCCACGCGGTGAAGAATATTTCGAAATACAGTGAAAGATTTTTCGTTTATAAAAATAATAAGATTCCACGGTAAATTAATTAATAAATTAAGAATGTAGTAATTGCAATATGTCACTGATTGATCCTGTCACAAACAAGAATGTTCGAGCAGTTTGAAATGCGAAATCCCGCAAAACGTTCAACTCTCCCGACCTGCGCTGCAGTGTTGCAGCGTTGTAAGGGGAAGGAACCGATTAACAAAGAGATTACTTCCAGTTTGTTGGCATCAGCAGCAACGGAGGGGCATTCAAGCTTTGATGAACTGCGGAAATACATAACACGCACCGGAATTCAGAGTAAGACGACGTAACAACTTCGTACATTAATAACATACGTAGTCAACATGATTATGCGAGTCTGGTTTAGAATCTATAAAGAGTCACAATTTC